TAGTCAAACTATCTGCATATGTTGATAACTTTCCCTAGCACTTTCTTCAATATCACACTGAGATATAGAGGGTACTATTTCAACTGGAGGCATTTTCTGACTTTTTTTTTGTACAGAAGTAGTCTGTTGAGCAAGGTCAAGATAAGAGTAAGTCCTCTACTATGGTTTAAGACCTACATGTGCTCGAGTTCAACACTGGTGAGATCAAGTCCAATAGGTAGAGCTGGCTGTTGACTTTGCCAGCAGTGTGACTGATGGTGGCCAGCAGACCTCCCACCATCTCCCATTTATCTCATCACTAAGCAGAGAAGGGCTGGCATACTGCAGCCTCCCAAAGAAAGTGGGTATTGCCGTTTTGTGAAACCTAAACAACTGACGATGGATTAATTATCAGGCTAGGATTCAAAACTGCTCGATCTCCTATGAGTTTTATTGCTTGTGTCCATGTCTACATTTACTACTGAGTTCAGTAGCCTTTTTGCTGGACTATGTTTTCGTAATTTAGTTACCTTTGTATTTTGGTAGAGGTGCTTGGAGTGGTGGGGGGGGAAGCTCAGATGAACACCCAAACTTCGCCTATACCTTCACTAATAATGAATGCTTCTTCTTATTTTTTATGCAAGTTTATGTCCTGTATCTTGTCATCCTTGAGAACTACTGCCAGGATGATCCTGGGGATGAATAGGCTATTTTACAAGAGCAAGTGAAAACAGCTTTTATTTGTGAGGCTAGACACACTGAGAAAGGGATTCAGCAGACTTTGGAGCATGCTGTGTTGCAGGTGTATGTACTGCAGGAGTGATGCAACAGAAGATGGGAGAAGGATAAACTGAGACCATGAAACAGTGGGACAGAAGCACAGGGCTGGAAACCCATCTTTCAGAAATGAAGACAGGAGCCTACAAGAATGTCTGGTACCATCAAAAGCATGAGGTTCTAGAATAAAGTCCCAACAGGAACAGTGAAGGGAAAGCCAATTCATTTTCAGATGGAGCTGAATTTTCAAGAAACAGTGGATGAGATGACATAATGTGGTTGATCTGAACTAGCCAGAAACTAGGAATAGCAATGAGAAAATCCCTTCAACCCTTGTATTCTTACTGAATTAGCTAAAGCTGCTGTAGTCTCTTTTTTCATTGCACAGAACAGACTTTGCAAATTTAGGTGAGCTCAAAGCTCCAAATTAATTTTCATCACTTGTTTTAAAGATTCTTCTAATTTTATCTCTGAGATATCACAAGTGGAGATTTTTAATTTGGGCCAACATTTGATTAGAAGGTTTAGAGTGGTTAGTAATTTGGCCAGAACTGATTGATGACTGGAAATGACACGTTGAGGAGATATTAAACTAAGATCCAAGAGCGATGGCTAGGCAGCATTGAGGATCTATTATTTGAGAGACATGACACTGAAGTTAATACTTTGTTTGTTGTGTTTGCAGTTGGATGTGTAGTTCCATTTCATTTCATAGCCTAAGTTATTAGAAGTGTTTCCGTGTCCTTCAGATGTGATTGTGTCTCAGTTATGTACTTCAACTACATCAAGAATGATGGTGTGAGCCTGCAATGATAACTGTATGAAAACGATTTTGAAATTTTAGGAAGAAAAAGAATCCAAACATCCCCTTTAAATATTTGTGATAGTAGTGACCAGGAAGCCCCTTCTTCACCTTTGGATTATAATTTTAATTCCAATGTTTCAAAACCTTTGTGTCCTGCAGAACATAGTCTCTTAAATTGTTCATCTAAAGGATGTAACTTGAATCTTCTCGGAGTGCTGCAATGTACATAGAAGTGACTAGGAGCAGAAAGTGGAATTTCTGTTGTGTGAATCGGTTTTTATTGCTACCATCCTTATATGCACAAGGAAGAAAAATATTGTCACTTGGAAAAAAATTCAAAATATAGAAAGATAACTAGGGGGTTTTTTTAGCTTTATACAGATCACATACTTCACAGTAAAATAAAAGCATGAGTGTCTAATCTGTTGATTTCAGCTACTTGGAAAGTTTCTACTTTATATTCAACTTGCATTGAATAAGATATCAAGCAGTAGAAAGGCTTCTAATGTGTTCATTACGTTTAGGTGTACAGGAGAGCTTTCAAACCATTTTGCAATTTACTATGCTATAAATGCAAAGAAGTCAGAGAACCAGTTGATATTTCTGGTATATTGCCGGATATTGTTATTGTGTTACTTGATTTAATCAAGATGGGTGTTGTGAGTGGGTCAGAAAATTCTGAGTGGTATTTGGTCTGCAAAACAATACCTAGTGCAATTGATTTTGAAATTGCAAAACTTCCCTGTTCAGTGCTGTTGAACCTTACTATTTCTTCTTGCTGTCTGGATTTTTGCTTCGTATTTCCTCCTTCAGACTATTGATGCATATTTAATAGGAACAAGATTAGTCTTAATACCAAAGCCTGTGGTGATGATGTACATCAGATCAAAGTTCTGAAATAGTCAATGAATGAATATGATTTTGTTACTAATTAAAACAATTAGTTTTACACGCTGCTTTTCAATGAAAATTTAATGTGTGAGCTCTTGGATCAATTTAATTTCATTATGCCAGCATATTTACTATGTTAGAGTAGAAGTTGAGTCAGTATTTCCATTATAAGATCCTATTTTACAACTGTAAAATTAGTATTGTACTCTTTAGGGGGTTATAATCTGGCTGTAAAAATTCACTTAGCACAGAAACTTGGCATGTAAAGGTTTCAACAGCATATATCTTGGGGAAAAAAGCAAATGTAATTTTGGAATACAATACACTTAGATCAGATTATATTGTATTTGTGTTGGATTAGAGTTATGAGGGCAGAGAAAAATGTTAGCTTAAACACACACTTTGATTTGCAACCCAATTTCCGAAATGTTTTTTAAAAAACTCCTAAACAAACAGCACAGAAAATACTTTGCTTGTGTCACTGGTGCTTCATATAGACCAATTCAGAAGGGGTGGGAAAGGGGAAACAAATACTTCTTAGTTGTATATGAATTTTTCTTAAGTTATACTTCAGTCAACTCAAAAGCACCTATTTCTTTTCACATTTCTAGTTAATGTATCTATTTCAACATGATGTTAAGATAGTCACACAGAATAGTTGAAACTTTTCAATTACAAGGTTTTGTAAATCTTTTCAAAAACTGAGGCATAAACCACTATCTTCTCTCATAATCTTTTCTGTAAGAAGGTATTGGAGGCCATCACTTTTCCCACAATTACATTTGTTTTTTATACCATATTTTTTGAACAGGAAATTGTAATTGGAATTTAGGATTATTTTTTTTTTTTATACTGACACTTTTATGTAGGTAAGGAGATAATGTCATCCCTTCAGTTCCTCATCAGGCCCTGAATTAAGATAATATTTCAACAACAATTTCAGGAATACAGGCAAAGGTACTTGGGTACTTACCTTACTAATTCTTAAATTACTTTTGTAGAATATGAAACAATTTTGGAAATAAGACACATTTTAAAAACTTGTATTAAAAATTAAATGCTAACACTTGAATATTTTGAGTATCAGCAATTTGCAACAAACTTCTAATTGCCACCTCAAGCAGCTAGAGCTGTCCCTTTGTCATGTGTTTGACAAACCCATAATGATGTTGCTTAGAAGGTGGACAGACCGAGTATGGAGGGCTTGCTTTGTGTGTTTCTGAGGTACAGCTCAGGTTGGAAATTACATCTACAGGATTTCCCTCTGGTGTAGGAATCCCTCTTTTAGTAGGAATGGACAATTGTTAATGTGGCCGATAGCCACACTTTTCCTGAAGCACTTGTCATGACCTTTTATTTCCTCAAACCCAGGTTCTTTATCCCTTCACCCCCTTAGCAAACATCTTACCTCTATAAATCTGCCCTTCCCTTTTCTCCTCCCTTAGAGATGCTGCCCTGGGCATTGCCTGCATTGCTGCAGTCACTGGGTAGTATGCATTACAGCAGACAGGTGAACTAGGAGCAGGACAAGATGGGAATGGCCTGTGTATTTTATTGTCTGGGACTAACATCCTCTGTGTCCTGGGCAGCTTGATGCCCATCCTGTCAGAAGAAAGTCTGAGCAGCCAGCAATTGCGGTGTGCTTGAACTGCTTGAGAGCTTCATGTGGTTTCACATGCTTTGATTTGGTTAGCCTTCTTCAAAGTCACAGATAAAAACTCTCTTGAATTTCCAAATTCAGAAACAGCTTGTGACATAGGTGAATTTAAATTGCTCTCAGATGCCAAAAGTATCCTTCTGCTTCAAACAAATCCATTCTTTCCTTGAGCTCATGCAAATAATGACTTACTAAGCCTTGTTATGCTACATCACTGTGGTGGTAATCTTTATTTCAGTGTTTTGAAACCCAGACTCAACAGATGTTTCCTGCATGTGTGCATTAAATTATCTGTTCTTGCTCTCCATGTATTATATGAATTAGTGATTCGTTTGGCTATGTTTTCAGGATCTTTACTCCATGGAAATTTTTCAGCTTCTCTTGCTATTTATACCAATATTACTCTCTAGAATACGTCATGTCTGACCCCAGTCATAGTCCATGGTTATAGTATATATCTGCTTTTTCTATGCAACAGCCCTGTAATACTCTCAGCAAACATCTCCTGCCCATAAAGAAAATCAGCAATTCAGAGCTGTTGGCAGCCTCTCCCTAAGGAAAGTGTATGAAGTGGGCAGGCAACCCATAACCAAGTAACTTCATACGCTGTAAAGTTGCCTCAGACATGAAGACTTAAATTAATGGTTTTACTTTACAAGATTTTAAACATGTATTTTATTGTAATTCAGTTTCCTGTACCGTTTTCCATCTATTATACATGAGGAAGCAAACCTGGAAAGGAGAGTTACCTTCATTAATGTCACACAGACTGTCATCGGGAGAGTTTGGAATGCAACTGATGTTTCTTTAAAATAAATAAAAAAAAGAACAACTACCCCAAACTGCTATATTTAATACTTGCTGTAATGCTCTATGCATTTCTCTTCACAGGTGACTGTTACAACTATTGGCTATGGGGATAAAGTGCCTCAGACCTGGATAGGAAAGACCATTGCATCTTGTTTTTCAGTATTTGCAATTTCATTTTTTGCACTACCTGCGGTAGGTTATCTTGTGCTTTTGCTGGCAATTTGGTATTGACTCATTAGTCATCAGATGAAACTTTCTTATTGATTCTTTAACCTTTCACTTAACCTGATGTTATGAAAGCTTTGTATTAAGCTTTTATATTGTCGTGAAAATATATGCCGCTTGTAGAAGCAAAAGAGCATCTATAACTAGCTAAAAAAAGTAAATATGCAGTGTTTATTGTATGCAACACTAGATTTGGTATGTATTTGAGAAAGAGATGTTTAATTAAAAATACTTTTTCTGCCCATCTCAGAGAAGTGTAAAGGAAATTATTTCTCATGGTAATTACTTCTGGACTCAGTGACTTAGTGATGTTTTGACTTTTTAAGGCATTCACTCATAGTTTACTCAACTGATTAGGTCCAGGGTGAACTGTAGAATTCTCATACACATCCTTCTTCTAGCAAAGCTGCCAAAAAGGTGTCACTGGCAGAGACACAACAATAAGCAGCCAGGGATACTGATGCAGCTCTTTGCCAAATTAGCATCTGTCCATGGCCAAAGTCCCATTTTCAAAAGTGACCTGGGGCTGAGCTTTTAAAGGTGTTATGGCACTTTGTTTGCACTGAAAATAGTTCCCAAGTATTTTCTAAGAGTATCAAGATACTTGAGTACCAAGGGTAACTTCAAATTCAATGAAACCTGGACTGTGGTTTTAAAACCCAAAATGTTCAGTGCCAAGGGTAGTTAAGGGTATTTTTTTCACAAATTTAGCAATGCTCCCGAATTGTGCTGTTAAAATGTTTATTTTTCAGCAAGTTTTTCAGTTCAGTGACATGAACAGTTGTGTTAGCAGATGTTTGTGTAGTTGTGGCAGGAAAGTGGTGGGGATAACTACAGGATGGATGAGAAGAATACTTTAATGCCAGTACTGTCACAAAAATTCTTTACAACATGAAATAGTAACTATTCAAACGCCAGTGGCTTTTAAAAATTAGTTGCTTACTTTAAAGGTATGCAGCCTTTTGCAGAGGAGGGTAATTAAGCGTAGGTTTTTAGATTCTTCAGCATCAGTTTGCCTTTAAAGCATGTTCTTCCCACTTCCTCGTTCTAATCTCTTTCACATTTATTCCTTGTTTAGAAGAACTGGTAAATTAAATTTAGAAACTGGTAAATTAAATGATGTGTGAGAAACATGCCAAAAGCTCCTATTTTGACTGAAGAGTTGGGGTTTTTTCCCTCAGACTTGAACGCCAGCAAAGATGTTTTATAGATAATTGTATAGCAGTCCCACCTTCACAGCAATGCTTTTATGTTTACCTGTCAGATTTCCCTAGTCGTTTGTAGAAATAAAACAACAAACACCCCTTTATCAGTGTGATTTTATTACTGAATTAAGTTGTTCTTGTGAGTTGGCCCAAGGGGGAAATTTAGGGTTTGAAACTCTAGCAGTAAATAGTTGACAGGTAGTAACTATTGCACACTGCCTTGTTGCCATTTTAAATAAGGGGAGCTGGCTGAGATCACAGTCAAAAGTAATTGTTGTGGCTAAACACAACTGGTATGGGTTCTGGATCTAGCAATGATCCTTCATTTCCCAAATAAGTGATGTTTGAGCATCATTAACTCTTTGATCTTTACTAAATTAACATAATAGGAAGGGCCTTTCCTGTTCCTTTCAAAACACTTGGTGATTAATGCAGTTCTTAGAGGTTGAGCTAAGATCATTGGCTGCTCTGACAGCTTGACTACCATATGTAAAAAATGAATTATGCTTTTGTTGAGTAGGTGTAGTCTTGTAAGCTGATTTATAGAAGATCTTATTTTTATCTGTGTTACCAAAACCTCTGTTAAACATGTCTATAGTGATGCAAATGTCTACCTAAATGACTTGCTTGATACTTAATTTTGAACTTAGTAGTTATACTACATTTGGAGGCTATTTCAGGTTGTACACCATCCAGTGTGACTAGTCCATGTTCCTTGTCCTGAGAGTAAATTAGATGGCCTTGTGTTGAATTTACTTAAGTCCTGACCATTTTGTAATATTCCTTTTCCCCTTCTTTGTCCTCCTCTCCTAGCATGGGTTAACATACAGAAATAGAAATAACCATACTACAGTTAAAAGGTCTTTCTTGTGGCCTGAATCATGCCATGCCAAAGCTTTAAACCTCATAAAAATAAAGCTAAGCACATCAAGCTAGTATTTTTCCCTATTCTGTCGTTCTCCTGCACAAGCATTTATGAGACTTTTAGAGGGTATGAAATATTTCTGCTCACTCTTTAGCATTTGAGTCCAACTGACTTAAACAGGCTTTGGATCAGGGCATGATAGCATTCATAGTTTGTTTCAACAAGTAATACTAACTGAGTTTAAAAACTTAACAGTATTAAGTAATTTCCTCTAAATAATTAGTTGGGTTTTATGATGCTGAATAGAGGTTTATTAATACAACATAATTTGGTAAGCTTATGTGTGAGTTTTTTCCCCCTTAAAAAAAAAAAATAAAATCTGTGTTTTCTTTCTTCCCACAGGGAATTCTTGGTTCAGGCTTTGCCCTAAAGGTACAACAGAAGCAAAGACAGAAGCATTTCAACCGTCAAATTCCAGCTGCTGCCTCTCTCATACAGGTACTGAGTTCCTGCATTTTGCATACTATCATTTCTCCCCATTTATAGATTTGTTTTGGTTTTTTTTTCCCAAAACTGTTGGCAGTATTCCCATGCCTGGTCCTCATTAAAAATTGTGTAGGAGTTACAGATGCAAGTCCTTTAAATGTCTTTGGAAATCCCACCTTTAATGTAAACTCATGAGCAGAAAAGTTCACTCCCAAATCAGTGTAAAATGTTTAATTCAACTCGTTAAAATAAAAACTGAGAAGTATCCTGTAGTTAGTGAACAATTCACCTGCAGAAAATGTTATGAAATACTATGCTTGCAGTAGTGAAAAAGAGAGAGGTGTCTTCATGTAAAATTGTGCTTTAAAAAAATACTTTGTTGCTTGTAAAGACAAATGTCAGATATGCTTCATTTTCCTTGGGACCACTAAGTTCTTAAAAAATCTCAAATTTAGGAGAACTAAGTCAGGATGTTAAATGGGAAGATATTGTCTGAACTTCTCAACTGTAGGATAGGTGGCTGGGAGCCACTGGGATTCTGCAAAATCAATCTTTTCATGTAGGATAACATACAGGCAGAAAAATTTTAATTCCCTCTGTTAAAAATGCAGTTGCAGTTCAGTCTCAGTAAGGTCAATTTTATCCTTTACTTCAGCGGAGCCAGCATTTCACCCTGCAGAAGTATTAATATTGTTTCATTCTAGGTTTCTCCAGCTTTTCCTCCCTCACTCAGTATCTGCATGTAGCTTTAGAATCACAGGGATCAAATTTAAAAGGAATCTAGATGTATACCTAAGCAGTATCATTTTTGCATTCTCATATGACTTATTTCTCTAGCTTCATGAGTGAATGTGGATTTCCTGGTCAGGCTCTTTATGGAAACAGTAGCCAACTGTAAAGTTTATGCTTGAAACTAAACAGTCCCAGAGTTAATGTGAAAAAGGTTTAAATTTAGGGCTCTGCCTACAGCCAGAGATTAGCAAAGTCTTCAGACTTGGTGTGTTTCATTTGGATTGCATGGTCAGAAAAAGGTACGGATTTGCAAAGAATGGATTTTTAGTTTTCCCGCTGATTCTTTTGGGAAATCAACCCCAAATTACTGGGGAAGCCTTAGATTGCAAGTCCAGAATGTTGTACTTGGCTCCACCTGAAATGTTAAGGAGGAATGGAGGATAGACAAGGAGTTGGTGACTGCCTGTTCTTTATAGTGGTAATTATGATTTACTAATAAATTCAGACTTCTAAAGGCCCAGTTTAGTAAGTGCTCTACAAATAATTTAGAAAAAGATTATTCTTAAACCAAGAATTTTATGAAATAAGTACAAGAGAAGACAACAGCTGAAAGAAGTGATACTTTTTTCCTGTACTCGTCCTTGTTTTCTTCTAGAGGCCAGTTGTTTCTTCCAGTATCCTTTTAACTATGGTGGGAATTATATGGTGATTGTCTGATCTTTTACTTTCCAACTGCTGTCTGTTTTCCTCTGTCATTTTTCCTTGCTTTGTTTCTTTAATCTAGTGTTTTCTGGCCTTTTCCACTTCAGATTTTGTGTATGTATATGTGTGTCCTTTTTGCATGTAGTGTTTAAATGAGGATCTGTTCTTTTTTTCAGTTTGGAGACTAACTATTAATCAAATCTCTAAAGTTTTTACACATTTAGGAGAGAATGCAGTAATGTGGTGTCTCAGGTCTTGTTTCCTAGCCCTGCTTTTCTACCTTTTTGTCTTAGAAGATAGTACTTTAATCATTGGTCGTTGACAGGAGGGAGGATTGGGTTTGGGTTAACCATTGGTGCTGTTCCCTCATGCTCTCAATCTTATTTCTTCGTATGAATGTAGCCCTACTGACCACATCACAATTGCTTTTTTTTCGCATAGTACTCTTGTGAGACAGGGAAGAACAATTTTTGTTTTATGAGTAGGAGCCTGAAACACAGGATGCAATAGGCAAAATGCTCCAAGTCAGAGAGACAGAGCAAGAAATTCAACGCCAGTCTTTTGAGTCCAGTCTAGAATTCTCTCATGTTATTTGTTTGTTGCTAATGTGAACAAAAGTTGTACTTGAGAAGACTGATCTTCTTTTCTGGTTTGCTCAGTTCAAACTAAGTGGTTTTTGTTTGCTAAATAAGGATTCTAAACGATGTGGAGTTTGTTCCCAGTGGGAAAATTCAAGAATACCATTAAATAAAGAATGACTAACATACTTATTGGAAGTTAATTTGTAGTACAGATAGCTACAAATCCGATTGCATTCATTGTTTTGTCCCTTAAAACTTTTGTTCTAGACTGCATGGAGATGCTATGCAGCAGAAAACCCAGACTCTTCTACATGGAAGATATACATTCGAAGACCTGCCAGAAATTATCATTTGCTGTCACCCAGTCCAAAACCAAAGAAATCGGTGATGGTACTAGTAACTAACATTTCCTATTGTAGTAATTTAAATTTTTTTAATTGGATTGAATTTGTTTACTCTCTAGAGGCTATTTATTTGTTGTGGGTTTTTTACAGATTATTACTTGGTTTCAAAGTTTTATTTTGATTTCAGTTTTGAGACTTTCAGTATACAAACATTTTGAACTATAACTTAATTTGCTTCAGTTTCCAAGCTTGACTTTTTTAATGGATATGTGGGTTTGGAAAAGAGCAATAATGACCTAACTCAGGCACATCAATCAGTAACTTTACTGTTATTGTTTGGAAAACTATAAGAAAAAGAAAAAAAAAGAAAATTACTGTTTCCAAAACAGTAACTTTTAATTGTTTTGTTTTTTTTTAAGAAAAAACAAAACATAAAACAAGAAAACATAACAAAACTGCTGCTTCTTTCAGCTATTGATTTTGTGGCTTCTATGGTGAAGACATCTTGTGCCTACATACAGTAGTATTTTCATATCAACTGATTCCTTAAGTTAAGAATTTTTTTGTTTAAAAAAAAACTACAAAAACCCTTTGTCAGTATCTTTAGATTATATAATGCTTCATTGTGTCTGTTGTAAGAGTATTGGACAGTAGTCTCAAGCTGGAAAGAGACAATGTTGTGCAAAAATCTTCCCTAGTATCCCAAGTTCATCTGAGTTCAGTAGGTACAATTTCTTGCATCCGTAAAATGGTAAAGATATTCTAGAATAGTTTGATTTATATAAACTGTCACAGAGCTAGTAGATTTTTGTACTTCAGGCAAGGGATTTGCTAATGACAATGTGCAGAGCTCTAGTGATTAAGCCAGTTTTGGTGGGATGGGGGGCAATCTCATGGAGAAACACACAGTTGTAGCATCATGAAAACGTAATTGGTCAGGCACTCTTTTGACTGGTTATAGCTCACTGGGAACTGCATTATTCTTGAAGACGTTACTGAAGAGACAACTAAATGTGGCTTGGTTTGAGTAATTTAATGTTATGTGTATTTTTAGGTTAAAAAGAAGAAATTTAAGTTAGACAAGGACAATGGGCCTTCTTCTCCAGATAGGATGTTAACTGTTCCACACATCACTTATGACCACGTGGCAGAGGACAGGAAACCTCATTTCAGTTTTGAAGCATATGAAAATTCTGGTAAGAAATTTCATTATAAACCGCTAGTAACTATAATGGCTTCTATTAGTGATTTACCCACAGGTCTCCTTTAATATCTGTAGGAGAGATGATGAGGACAGAACAAACTCTTGTCATTCTAAAGCAAGAATACTTTGCTTTTTGACTTAGGTTGCTGGCTTGTCTGGATGAGATACAACCATTCCTTTAATGAGCATGCTCCACTGCAGGCAAACTAAGATTATTTGTCATTTCTGCCTCCCAGAAGAGCTATTGTCTCTAAGGCTGGTGCATACATTGCCCAATTCTGGGGAAGCTACAGGGATTAGCTGTCAGCTTTTCCATGTGAAGTTTACCTCAGATGTGTTACTATTGTGCTTGTACCTCAATCAAAAAGGATTGACATGTCTTGGCTGTGCCTGGGCATACACAGTCTGCTACATGAAACCATCGTGTGCTCCTGCCATCTGCTCAGTGGAGTAGGCTGTGAATCAAATTTTGAAAGCAGAAGTACTTAAGATAAATGCGGATCCATCTGTATCAACTGTCACTGTACAAAATGGTACAGTATGAGGAAAAAGAAGAAAGGACTTTGATAATCACCTTATAATTAATAGCTTAGTTATAGTTGCTTTAGTTGTAATGAACTACCAAAATAACTCTGAATTTGCAATGCGGCTTTTTTTAGAAACGTACTTGTATTAGAAGTTTTGAATGTGTATTGCTCAAATTTTGGCAGCAAATATTAGGTTTAATTTTTAAGGTGTGTTTTATTGATTATAGATACGTTAAGTACTTATGTTTTTTCTCCTCAAAAATTTGGCTGACCTGATTAAATTTAATGGCCTTTAAAATAAGATAGCAATGTGGGCTGGCACCAGGCATATTCGAATTCAAGCGGAAAGTCTCACCTTCCATGTACTTTTTTGGTATGCTTCTGCCTTGTCTTGTTCTGTAACATCCATGCTTTTCCACTCTTTCTTGGCCTCTGTTAAGGAGTGATTGCAAGTTGCAGTCATTTGTTAAAGGTGGACAAGTACTAAGTTTAATCTGTGTCTCAGGCTTTGAGTACAGATACCTTTCTTCAAAACAATCCAATGAATGAACTGTACAAATGCTTAGATTTGTGAAGTCCCACCTTTTATCACTAAGCTTCGAAGTTGATTAAAGGACAGTATGATTTGCAGGCAGCCTGTTACTGACACTTCAAAAATCAGCTTTATAGCTTTCAATAAAAGTATTTTCTCTAATTTCTTCTGACACTTATCTCTTTTCTTTTTTATCTGTGTTCTGCTCTCTCTAAACTGTTACAAGTATACAGGACAAAAAACAGGAATGTTAAAATTGCTTGGTAAGTTGAGGAAAATAATTTTATGTATGGCATGCCAGCTTATGACAATGTAACGTTTGCAGTGCTTTTCATGTGTGTCTAGTGCCATATAGTTTCTAAGATATCTTTTGCAGCCAAGGAGATCTAGACAGACAAAAATGTACATTCTCACACTTGTAATCACAATTGTACCCACAGTTTCATTGCAAAGAGAAAAGTGAGCACTCATTCATATAAGTAGATGATACTTGGGTTTTTTTAATAATCGAGAAAAATTGTTCGAGTATATATAACCGATAGAAAAAGAAAACCCACATATAAATAAAACACAATTCATCCAGTAGTTACTTAAGCATATAGCTGAGAATTAATTTCTAAACAAATAGATTGGGATGTAGGCAAAATTTCCAGATTTGACCTCCAGTATTGTGCATTCTGAAGTACATGCATCTGTTCTTGTAAAAATGCTCTGTAGATATTTGTGAACAGATGAGGACTCATAAATTAAATAATGTATTTTACTGTTTGTCTGGATTCTGCGATCACTTAAGCAGCCTGTGATGTTTCTAATGTGCTTGCTTAGGCACTTTCTTAGCAATTGAATGTTCCCCAAAGACTCTAGGATTAGAGCTAGGTCTGGGCAAAAAAACCTCTCTGATTTAGTGAGAGTGCTGTGAGCCACCTGTAAGTTGTCTGCTCTGCCTCCACTAAAGACAATAGAGGCTTCTTTTCAGTGGTCGAGTGCAAGGATGCTCAGGCTTGGATTAAATTGTCTGAAAATACAAGGTTCAGTTTCTCCTCTGAACCCACATGGAACACAGGTGCGATTAAGGTGGTAAAATAGCAGAAAACAAGCTGTATCTCCTTGACTCCCCGCGGGCCAATCCATGATTTGCCCATTTTCTGGTTTCCACTTTTCTCCTGTGTTCCAAGTGGTGCATCTCTTTTGGGGATAAGCATGCTGGAACAAGCTCAGGAGAGCAACAAGAGCCATGAAGTCACCTGTTTTACATGAACAGGAAATTCCTTCATCTTAGGGAAGTATCAGAGGAGCATTGCCAGCTGCCATAGATTCAGTTTCTATTTCCTAGCCAAGGCAGTGTGAGCTCAGTGGACCTGAGAGGTTCCCTAACACCATTCTCACGGTGACTGAAAGGAATAAAGAGGAGAGAGTGTATTTGTACTTACCGTGAATAAAATTACCTACACAGAAAGCTGAAGCTGCCAAGTGAAAAGCTCAGAACAAGAAATTAGGAAGTACAAGAATAAAGTACGCTCATTCAGCTTTCATTTGGTCCTCATCAAGCCTCTAGTCACATATCCATATGCTGCTTTCTCATATTCAGTAAATTTCGGTTCTCTCTTTGGACTGCCCACTTTATATTCAAGTCCTTAGACTCCTGGATCCCAAATCTGGCTTCCCTGCCAATATCCGTGTGCAACCAGGGGTTTGCACCTCCTTTTCTCCCCTTCTCCTTTCTCCTGGCATCATCAGTGCAGCAAAGACCCAAGAGCTGTGGCTGGGGTGTGCCTAGCGCTGACAGAACACTTGCAAACTGAGCGGTTTTTTTTTCAGATTTTTAAACTCCAATACATTTATATTTTGAGAGTTTTTCTCTTTATGTAAAAGTAAGGCAACACTTCTGAAAAATACCACTCTGTCCCAGTGTGTGAGTCCACAGACATTTCTTAATGAAATAGTTATTAAAATGATAACACTATTCAAAAGAGCTAAACATAGCATAAACATTATGCTTTGCTGAGTCTCTTTCTCATCACCAACTCCTCTTGCTTGCCTGAAATTTTTACCCAGGAAACTCAGTTTGACTCACTTGGCTTAAATGTTGAAGTGGGCAGCTTCAAATGATTTTTATGGAATGAATCGGGCAGCTTCAAATATGAGTGACAGTACTGGTCTGTCCACCTGACAGCACTGGATGTGACCAGGAGCTAGCTACACCGTGAATGGTATGAACCAGAGCAAGAGGGCTCAGACCTGTGTGAGGTTGTACCCTTTGGAAAGGGAAACACTTGAGGAAACCCTGAAGTCAGGAGGGAAGGGGCTTGCTTTCCTCAGAAGGGGACTGGCATGCAGGGAGGAATATCTTGCAGCAGGTGACACTGTCATGAAGAATGGGTTTGAAGAGACAGTGATGCCTCCCCTAGCAGTGATTTAATATTCTGCTAACATGTAATGCCCACTAGAAGAGTTTCATACAAACTCTTTTCCACAGCGTTTTTTATTTTGTTTTTAAAGATGTCAGGTACAACATACTATATTTTAGGTATGTCTGCATCTCCTCAGCTGCCTGTCTGGAGCTTTTTTCTTCCCCCCACCCCATCTCTCTCTATTTCATGTGCATCTTTACTCTGACTCAGATTGTCAGCGCTCCTGGCCATCCTTTTCCACAGACCAGCAGTCTTCCAGCGCTCCTTCCTCTCCAGGTAAAGCTCATAATATTTCATTGCTTCATCACCTTTGTTAATTACTAAATCTTTCCAATGCTCTGTCTGGAGTTGCCTGCTGTGGCACAGAAAATTATAGTGCTGATTTTTAAAGAAAGCATAGGCATGTCAGTAGAACTTCGAGTTTGGAAGTTTGTTCAGTTGTAAATTGCAAATGTTTAAATAAAAGAAGACATTTTCTGCAGAATAGAGGTATTTTCTAAATGCATTAATTAAAACTCAGATTTTCCGTGAACAATGCTTTAAAGTGTTTTAAATTCTTTGTCTGTGTCTGCAAACGAAGAAGTGTAAAATATTTTCTATCTTACTAACCAAATACTCCACTACCAGAAAAGCATCTACATACATGTCATATTGTATATAAAATTGTTGTGTTGGTAATATAGAAAACCAATCAGTAATTACTTGTTACTGTGTTTATAATCTTCGATTGAAAGCTCATAGAATCATAGAAGAGTTTGGGTTGGAAGGGACCATTAAAGGTCATCTAGTCCAACCGCCTGCAATGAGCAGGGACATCTTCAACTAGACCGGCTTGCTCAAATCCACATCCAGCCTGACCTTGAATGTTTCCAGAAAGTCCAGAATTTCTGTTTTAAAGCAGAGGTTCTTATATTGTGGGGAGTATTTTCTGCCATTTCAAACTAGTACTTGGCTCAGCATTATCAGTTGGATAGTCATGCCTGTTACCATAGTTGCTGCCACTACCCATCAAAAATAGAGGAAAAAAGCTTGGGAACCCCTGAATTATAGTAAATATCCCTTGCTACACCTCTTTCCTGTTTAGTTTCACTCATTATTTTCCATTGAAAATGAGTTTCTAAAGCTTCCTTTTGTTTTCCTTTAGCTTACTTATTTAAAAATTTAGTGTCTTTTTTAACATACTTTTTTTTTTTCCACACTGCTTTGGATGCAGAAAGACTACTCCAAAGTCAAATGGCTATGAATTTATTTTTATAAATAAAAAAGTATGCTGCCGCAGCATATGCTTCCTGTTGCTCTGCTTGAGCCTTGTTTCAAGGCACTTTGTGGCAGGGAAGCTCTTATTAAGACCATGTTCTTTTCTTGCTCCCTCCTCTCTCTTTCTGCAAGGAGGTTGCATGGTACCGTTGTGGAGTGGATCCTCCTTCATGTCGGAAGCAGCAACACCTGTTTAAAAATGAGGGCATAAAGACCAGAGGGCTGCACCTGTCACCAGAACAGACTGATCTTGATTATGATCTTAGAAAATTTTAAAATAAAAAGAGGGAGGGAGATTCCATGTTTGCCTCATATTAAGTAGCTCTTCATCTCTGTATTTTCAGATAACAGCACTTTCAAATAGGCTGAGGTACAGTCTTGACTTCTTGTTCCTTTTTCACTGTGCCACTCCTCTCCCCTCCCATGAAACTGAGAAGCAGTAACTGTGAATGATCCAAGAACAGTCGTTTCTGCAAATCCATTTGTGTACTGTATGGTACCTCTCAGAAGCACAGTTTAGTGAGTGTTCAGCAAACACTTTACATGGTTTTAGGTTCGGCAGTTTTATCACTTGTCATCAGGAAAACTGAAAAGGCTGTGACTCCTCCTTTCCTAGAAACTGGGAGAGTTTCATTTGTATCTTGTAGAAATGAAAACAGTGAAAATTAATTTGGTGAAAGCCAAAAGGAGTCAGTTTTGAAGACAATTTGCTGCATATCTGAATCTGGAATTGGTTTGCTTGTTTCATAGCCACTATCTTGGATGATGGCTACAGCAAAGTGATTAAATAACATGATACTAAAACCAAAAATAGGAAGCTAACGTTTGCTAAAACTTACTATAGAATTTTCATTTCTATCAAAAGCAGAAGCCACTTGCAGCACTTAATTTTACCTCCTAGAAGTTGTCTCATATTGTGATTTCAGAGGTCTTTCTCTCCTATTACAAATTCTGGAGAGCAGACTTTCCCACTGTAATTTTGAATAGCAATGTGCCTGATTATATAATAGCATTCTGTTTTTTAATAATTTGTAAAAGTTCAAATCCATTTCTGCCATATGAAGATATCTACTTACTTGAGTAAAATGGTTGCGTTTAAAATAAATTTGTTTCCTGATATCCCCGGTTCTAGTCTCATTAAATTCATCTGCATTTAAGTTAGCTATTTCTGCCATATTCCTTTAGTTTTCATATTGCATTTTGGCAGGGCATTATTTACTGTTATATTAGAAAGTATTTTATTTAATACAGTAGAGATTTCATAAATTACAACTTTATAATTATGTCATTGAATGATCCAGCCAGTTGCACAAATAAAGATTTCTATGAAAGTGTCACAATCTATGATTTTTACAGAATTTTACTTGGTTTTATTCTCTATAAAATTCATTTACAGTCATGTATAAATGTAATAGTGGTTTTATTTATATGCAGATTTTGTGGCTTCTCCAACAAATGTTAGGACTATGCTGGATAAAACACTTAGAGTTCTTAATGTTAGAGTATGGCAGAATTTAGAAGCCTGAGTTTAAAAATGAAATCTAATATTCTGCCTAATTTCTTGGATGCAAGAAAGTGTTGGTACACAATAACAATAAAAACTTTCAATATCTGAAGTTTTGTGAAATGGCCTTCCCACTGAGGACCTCATCTTGGATGAACTGAACATCTTGCCACCTGTCTTGGGTGCCTCACCTTTGAACCCAGACACTTGTGCCTAAGTGTGAGAGGAATTGGGAACCAGCAGACCGTCTCAGACAGTGCATGACAGAAGCTGACTGCTCACCATTGAAAATGCCTAGGCTCCTTTATGGATCTAGGCCTGGTTTCTTGATCTTAGTCATGGTAATTACACCCCAGAAACTGGTATTATAAACTAAAACATGAAGTAGAGATGATATAAAAAGGAACTGATCTTCTCATTGGATTGCACTCATGTACTGTTGCTGTAGAGTGGTAGTCCATGGTATGGCTAAGTACTGTACAGTAAGTTTTGTAATGCATGAAGCTACCTGTGATATAGATACTCTACATTCCGGTGTATGAGGGGTGTGAACAAAAAAATAAAAATTAGCTTTAAGTCTTAAGCAGAAGTTGAAATTCTTCGGGTAGAAGAAGAGTTAAAGTTTTACTTTTCGTGAACTCTGTGTTACATGCAACTTTTTGGTAGTAACTTCTGTTTTCAATATTCTGTTAAAATGTACAGTATTTCAGACCCAAATGAGTGGTAGACCTTTCCTGAAGAAGACGAATGCTGTTGCTTTAACTGTTATCTGCATGTTTCCTCACAGTGAAAAAAAGCCCAACGTTTTTAGATGTGAACACAGGACCCTTCATCAGGACCAACAGCTTTGCTGATGAGCTTGACCTGGAGGGTGAGACACTGTTGACCCCAATAACTCACATCTCACAGTAAGTCAAGGCTATTGAATTGTGCATTAGTTGACTTAGACAAGAGAAGCCAATTCAGGTGGGAGGAGCTGAAATATGGAGCTGATAGGGCTATCTCAGATATTTGCGTCAAACTCTTTTTACCTTGAAGTTGGTGTATACTCTTCTGAGTGCCAGTAAATCTTCGTGTTGACCTAAAGAAAAGTTCACTTGGCTGTGACACAAGGCTTTAGTTTTTAGCTAATGTCTCTGGGCAGCTGGTGGTTGATAGCCTCAAGATTTTCACATAGAAGTAGGGTGTGGGAGTACTTGCCTGTTGAGAATTATATTACTCCCTCCACCATTTTCCAGTGGAATAGCTGTAAAGTAAAATTTTAAAAATTTTTAAGTACTACTTGTATGAAATACCAGCCTTTCCCTTTCAGCAGCACCTTCTCTAATGGTCAAATGGTCATCTGCATTGGAAGAAAAGATCTGTTTTGACTTTTATTACTGCTTTGTGGTACATAAAAATGATCTGAAATAGGCCTGTATGTTTTAATTTTGTTGTTTTTTTCCTTTTAAAAGAAGATTTTTCCACATGTCTGTATGCTAAAATGTTATCTCCACGTTCTCAGATTATTCTAAAAAAAATGAGAATTGCAAAAGGTTTTTATTCAAAGGCCTTCAAAAAAAAATATGTCATTGTTTAATTCAAACTCCTGACAAATGCTTATTTTTTTTACCATAGTAGGTATGTGACAGCGTGTTCTCTAGCAGAGGAATGAGACAATTCTTTCCCTTCCTATTCCTAGAAATCTCAGGATTTCTGCAGTGAAACCACAAATGAAAATTCTTGGCATACTTGTGTTTCTGAGGTACAAAACATGCAGAAATGCCTGCTGCCAATTTTCAGGCTTTCTTCCTATGCAGTATAAATTGCAGAGAAGCATGAACACACTTTTTATAGCCACTTGAGAAGGGCATTTTAAAAAAAAAAAGTAGGTTTAGGGGAGAGTCTTCCCTGCCCCCAAACAAAAGGACTTGCATTTTCAGCTGAATCACTAAATGTACATATATTTGTAGACAGAGGATTTAGGAGACTTGTATTCTGGAAGATTTCTTAGTGGTACAAGCAGGAGGAGGAAGTCATAAATTTCCTCAAGCCTTAGACAAAAACAACGGAGCAGCAAAACCAGATCTAGAAGTTTCCTTCGCGAAGCTTTTTTTAAACTTTAATTTACAACAACATTGCAGGCTTTCTTTAAGAGAAATAAACTTTGGTGCTAGGAGTTTTGATTATCCTTTTTGGATTTGGGAATCATTTAGTTATTTCTCATTGTCACTTTCATTGATACATTTCAAATAATGCTCCATCACTTTTAGGTCCAACTTGGTGTAACAGCTGAGACTTTTTCCTATGAACTACTTGTGGGAGGCCTTAGGGTATAGGATAGGCAATGTGTATCAGCTGAAGTACCATACCAAATTAACACCCTAGTCTTTTAGTAACTTTTATATCTCTGTTTTACTTCCTTAATTTTTAGTTGGAACCTTTGTTGAAATCTTGCCTAGATTGCTGTAGGTTATGAGTGATGGGATGGTACAAAATATGTCCCTGTATCTGGCTTGAATTAAGTCTCTGCTAGGGGGGAAGAAAATGGAAGTCATTGTTTCATTTAAGACTTTGGTTTTAGATTCAAAACTGGATAAATTGGGTGTGCGAAGCCACGTACTAATTTTCTGTATCACAATGGTGGTTAATCATTTCAGCTCTGTGTCTGTGTGTGTTTTTAATTCAGGCTTGAAAGTTATGTTGTGCCTGAGAGAATCTAGGATGAATTGTTTTGTTCTGATGTCCCCAGTTGTGAAGCATTTTATTTCCTTAAAGCCATCATAGATACAGTATGTTTGCTCCAGATTTGTTGATAAGGAAATAAGCAACCATATGCAAGTCTAAACTCAAGTACTTAACAAAAATGCAGCACCAGCTATGAAAACAAATTAGTATGGAAAACTCAAATTAAGTGCAAATATCTCTAGTTTCGTGTCTTAAAAGCAATTCATACTCTTGTCGGAGGAACAGGAGCATGAAGACTGTTTCAGAAGTGGAAGCATAATATAAAACACTTGATCTAAGTGTGCTTGGATTTGGGATTCATAGGACTATTTCCTGGTGACTTATATATTTATGGCATCATATTAATTAGCTTAACCATAAACCACAGAAAGGTGACTCCAGAAAAAACATTAATTTTTGGAAGTCATAAATACATGAATAAATATTACACAGTTAATTGGAGACATGCAACTGGAAAGTGACTTTTAGTTGACACTATGAAAAATATTTCCTTTTGACGGGTAGAGTAAATCTGGCAAAAGCGTGGGTACCTACCGTGTTACTGACAGGTAGACGCTTGGCATTGTTGTGACTTGAAAAAAGAATGAGGCTAAGTTTGTTTCCTCTGGAAAGAAAATGCCATCTTTCAGCCCTTGTGACAAAGGGCGTTAGGCTTCTAGACCTAAAGCCCCCTTTAAATTGAATTTCAGTGCCCCATTGTTTATGCAAAAAATATTCTCTTGTTGTAAATGTAGGTGCATGTTCTCACTGAATTTAATAGGACAGGTTTTGTGTCTAATAATAAAAATGCAGGTGTGGGTTTTTTTGCAGAACATATTTCTGGCTGTATTTTAAATCTGTTTTGAAAAAAATATTGTACTAGATGTAGCCCTATTTCTGTGGAACTAGAAATGGGAAATCTTTCACGTTGCACATGAAATTGGAATCTTTCCAAAATTACTATACCAGTTAGTCATTTGTCACTACCACTTTGAGGAGACAAAAATAATACTACTTTGAGACCTGATGTTCAAACAGGAAAGTGATTAAAATGTGATAGAAAAAACAGACTTGCAAGAGATGCGTGCAGAAATATAGAATAATGTAGCAATGCATGGAAGAGTGGCTGTGCTTTTCCTTCTACATGAGAAATCTTATAAGCAGAAGATGCAGATTCAAGCAGAGGGATCTGAGTAATTAGCTGTTTTGGAGCTCACCTATAAAATGAACTGGGACGTCTGAAGAATGCAGTACACTGTGTTGGTTGAGATACGACTTGGCTCTTCAGTGGTTTGTTTAATGATTGTTGTGGCCTGTTCGGTTGAAAAAGTGAAATAGGAAACAAAACTGTAGCAATCCCACACCTCTCCTTTGGACTTCTCACTGTTTTCTTTCTCTCTAATCAGTGCTTTCCCGTATTGTCTCCTGTTCCCTGTTTCACTTCGCTGGACCTTTTGTTCTATTTGCATTTTAAAGCAGTGGAAAATCGATGCTACTTGTAGCTGAGCCTCAGCTACCACGAGGTTCTTTCCCTGTGTTGGTATAATTGTTTAGTTTCAGCACCTTTTTTAACTTTACGTTTTTGCATTAGCTGTAAGTATCAAAAGAAATCCACCGAGCTTCTAAGAATACAAATGGGGAGGAAGGAAGCGGATGGAATTGAGCTGAAAAAGGGAGACAAGAAAATAATTAAGAACGCTCAATCTAATATATATCTTTATATAAATATTTGTCACTGCTTTAAAGAAGTTGAAAAAGAGCTCTGCATTCTTCATGAATCTTTCAGAAATGCTACTGAATAAAAAATAAGTTCCTATCTCTTATTTCTATAGTTTCC